CGATATTTCTATTCTAGTAATTTCCAAAGAAACAAGGGCAGAAAAATTCCCTTAAGTGCTCCAGACTTTTAAAATTCAACAGCATGGTTCTACTATATGTAGGCTGACAAAATATAGGCTTGTACTTGGTCCCCTTCCAAATAGTTGAATTGCATAGCCCCAAATCTCCATCAGTCTCTCTTTCTTTTTTCTCTCTCTCTAAAATCCAGTTGTACGTGCATTTACCATTCCCTCTTCCCTTATACCACATCCTAATCCAGATCCTTGTCACATCTTATTTGGCCCACAGTGGTCCTGTAAGTAATCTCCTCACCTTCTGTCCTGTTCCTCTTCAGTATATTCCCCATACAACAGCTAGAGCTGTTTGTTTTTTTCTATCAGATTTGGTGAGGTTTGATTTATATAGAAAATAAAACCTTATTTTTAGTGTATGATTCTTTGAATTTTGACAAATGCATGTAGTTCATTCATATAAGCATAGTTTTCCATAGATTTTTTTTCTGGGTAAATATATCCCTAGGAGTGAGATTGCTGGGTTCAAAGAACTTAATATTTAAATTTACAAGGAAAATGTTGTCAGGATGGAGGGAAATTTCCACCCCTCTCCTTCTTAGGCTAGTTAATAATCAAAACAACAGCAAACAGATTAGCAAGAGTAAAAAAAGGTCAATTTTATGACATGTATACAGAGAAACTTCATAGAGGTTGAGAATTACCATTTTAGTCAGGGAATCCATTCCTGAAAATAAGAAATGGGAGCTGTGGTTTCAGGGAGAGAGGAGGTAATTCACATGACAGATAGCAGGTGTTGTTTAGTTTGATGTTTGTCCTTCTGTTGGCCTCTCCAATATAAATATTATTTCTGAAGAAATTTAGTATATGTGCTGCCGAACAGCGGGTAGGGCGTTCGCCTTACAAGCGGCCAACATGGCCGACCCGAGTTCGATTCCTCCGCCCCTCTCGGAGAGCCCGGCAAGCTACCGAGAGTATTCGATATGCCAGACACAGTAACAACAAAGTCTCCAATGGAGACGTTACTGGGCCCGCTTGAGCAAATCGACGATCAACGGGAGGGCCTTTACCTTTACCTTTACCTTCTGAAGAAAACCCTAATTCTGAGTAATGCCCCAATTTTCATTCTTCTTGATAGCCTGGAGTTGTAAGCTTCTAATTTAGACCCCAAAGGAACTCAATTTGAAATAATCTATATGCCAAAGTGGGAAGTCTTTTCTATAGTATCTTCACAGCCAAACTGTATCCCAACGTGGCTAAACCTTTACATTCCCATCAGCATTATATGAGAGTTTCTGGCATATCGAATACTCTCGGTAGCTTGCCGGGCTCTCCGAGAGGGGCAGAGGAATCGAACTCGGGTCGGCCATGTTGGCTGTGTGCAAGGCAGACGCCCTACCCGCTGTGCTATCGCTCCAATCTGCCTAATTTAGGGCCACAAAGATTTTCTCTGAGTTTTCTTCTAAAGCTTTGTAGTTTGATATTTTGTACTTAGATCTATGATCTATTTTGTTTTTGTGTGAATTTATGTGTATGATGTGTGAGGGTATGGACTAAGGTTCCTTTTGTTGCCTGTGAATATGTAATTTAAAAGAATATCCTCTTAGGACTGGAGGGATAGTATAGAGGTTAACTTATTTGCCTTACATTCTGCCAATCCCAGTTCAAATCCCCAACATCCCCTGTTCCGCCAAGCGCTGCAAGATGTGATCCAAACCACTCCACATCATTAATGACTGTCCTTTTCTCTTTTAATAATCAATTGCCTAGACTTGTGTAAGCCTATTTCTGTACTTCTTTTTGTCCATGTCCATTCAGGTTTCAGAGAGTAAATATCAGGTTTTTAAGGCCAAAAGACAAAATCCAAAATATTGTCTAGTTACTTGTATAACAAAAGAATACAAATTTCTATAAATTTCTTGGATAAGATTTCAAAGCTAGTAGCAGAGAAGATGGCTATGTTTAAGTTCACATGCCTTGCATTTGTGAGGCCCTGGGTTTGATCCCTAACATTTCCAGATGCAATATCCATCACAGCCACAACAAAAAGTCAAAAACCAATAATGGAGTACAATTTTTGTAATAAAGCTTTATTAATAAATAGAATGGAGTCATTTTTTTGGAGTAAGATAACATGTTGCTTAGTTAGGGTTCAAAGTTAGTGTTTCCTTTCACCAAAGTTGCTTTGAAGTGTTCACTAGTTCATGTAGATCTATAATGAAATTTTATGCATTTTTATCTTTGAAAAATATCTTCACATAAATAATATATGTGACCCGGGAAACTGCCATTTGTAGAGTACTAGAAAGCACGGCAAAGTGATAAAGATCGGGGGCGGGCAAGGTGGGGGTGGACCACACCCAGTAATGCTCAGAGGTTACTCCTGGCTCTGCACTTAGGAATTACTCCTGGTGAGTGCGGGGAATCATATGGATGCCGGGGATTGAACCAGGGTTGACCAAATACAAGGCAAATGACTTACCTGCTGTATTATGGCTCTGGTCCCACATAAAGTCTGTCTTTACTCAGCTCTCCAGGGAAATTTAAGTACTGTCAAGAACAATTTATACTAATTGGGTGGAGAGGGGTTTGATCCACTCCTGGCATTTGCCAGGATCCAGCCAGGACCAGCCACATACAAAACAAATACCTTAATCCTGTACTCTCTCTCTCCAGTCTCTAGATACTATGTAAACAAATACACCTGGCATTCTTCCAATAGCACTTTATGTATGGACACTGCAATTAAAATTTCATTTAAATTTTATTTTATTTTCACAAAATTTTATTTTGACTTTTTCTCATTCATCTAAGAATTCTTAAATCTCAGTGAAGTCAAAAGAAAAGGATTCATAATGATTTCTCTCATATGAGGGACTTGGAGATATACAGCACGGTAGCAATTTCAAAGGTCCAAAGGAAACATAATGGGAGCACTGGTACACACACACACATACACACACACTCACACACACAGCTGTGTTTGGAGTGGGAGGGGCTTGGAGGGAGGAGACCTGGGGTCATTGGGAGAGGGAAGGCGTATACCTTGGGAGAGGTGATGGGAGTGGTATTGAAATTAATGTGCATGAGAAATCATCGTTAATAGTACTGTAAACCACAGAATCTCAACTTTAAAAAGAAATTTAAATATTTAAGTTTTAAATCCTTAGGTTAGGGACAATACAAAAAGAGACAGTAGAATAGATTTGACTTATAGACTCCAATTTGCTTCCCCTGCTTCTCCTACATTCCCCATAGAATGTTTCTATCTTCTGCCAATAGGACATTATCAGAATGGCTGTAACTTTGTGCCAAATCTTAAAATCAGTTAATAAATATGAGTCCTCTAACTTTGTTCTCTTTCAGAATTGCTTTATGTATTCTATTTCCTTTCCTTTTTCATATAAACTTTTGCATCTATTGATTTCTACTACCATTCCCACTGAGATTTCACCTGGAATTCTGTTGAAATTTACATATACTTGGGGAAAACAGACAATATTGAGATCAGTTCACATATATCTCTCCATATTTTTAGGTCTTTGATGTCTTATATATGTTTTATATTTTTCATCTTTTACTGGTGTGTTGTAGTTTTGTATACACAAATTTTAGATTTTGTACACGTTGTTAGAGTTGTGCTTAAATATTTTTTTGGTTTTTTTGCTAAGAGCCATCTTTTTACAGTGTAAATTGGATTGGATTGTTTCCCCTGTTTAAAAACTCCTTCAGTGACTTCCCACTGCTCTTTGGATAAACTCTATAATCTTTAAAAGCCTGAAAGGCCCTGCATGATCTGTCCCTTGCTTTCCTTTCCAGCCTAATTTTATGCAATTTCCCCTTTGTTTAAAATGTTCTATCCTCAGACTAGCAGGAAATAGTTTTATTAACTAAGGGATGTAACTTTTAGAATGTCTGAAAGGGAAAATGTGATATTTTAAAGCTTACATTCAAAATATATTTATAATATATTTAAACTATACTGAAATGATCCATGATCTCCGGCAAGGAATAAACTTATATTTTGACTGGATTGTTAGGTTCTCTGTATGAAATTCTTTGACCTTGTGTTTTTCCATTGAAGTAGAGAGTTTTATGAGCATTGTTTACAGTAGACTTAACTTTGTACATATAAGCAAAAAAAAGTATTTTTTCCTTCTTTGCATATGTGCTGAAATGTAATGGAAAGGCTGTGTTTCTGACCAAACCAAGTATTCTGTTACTGTTCATCAATTAAATTAAAAATTTTCAATTATTAAAGCAATTACTACTTAATATATGCCTACCACCAATTTTATTATGATCTTCAAAATATAAATGTAAAATTGCAGCTATGTGCCTAAGGAGACAAAATCCCTTTGTGTGGGGGGAGGGGAGGGGAAGAGAAGGAGGTGAGCACGCCCAACTGTGCTCAGGGATCATTCCTGCTTGGGTTTGGGGGATCATATGCAGTACTAGGAATAGTTTTGGGGTAGTATTAGGATTGTCCTATCAGATGTATTATTTCTCTGACTCTAGGGTAGCACATTTCTTGGCATTGTGGAAAAATGTAGTCAGAGGACTGTTTCAAATTCACAAGTTTGAGGAGTTGAGTGTGAAGGACTAGTAGAAGTCAGACCTACAATGGGGTCTGTAAGAAGTGTCAGGTTGGAGGATAAACAGAAGGTGCAATTTCAGAGGTTTTTCCATGAAGGAAATGTCACCGTATCACTGCTGTGGAGATGTCAAGCAAAAAATTATGTATGGTTCAATAAGAAAATATGAAATTATGATTAAAAAGTTCCTTCTAAAATACCGATAGGATGCAGGATGTTTAATAAAGTACTCAGATTAGTTTATTTCCCCCATTTTTTAATATGAGGAAAGGTTTGAGAATAAACCGGGTTTTTTTCCAAGTAATTTGTCATGATAAGCTTTATAGTGCCTTTTCCAATCATATTTTCTTCTTTTCTTCCTCTGTCCCAACAGATTGACCGAGCTTACATGAGCTGCTATGTATGACACATAAGGGAAGCGGAAACCAATGGATGCAAGTTTGGCCATGCACTGAAAGGAAAGCATTGTCTGTGAAGTTTTCTATTTAAAAATGTCTGCTTGTAATGCCTTTACTGAACACGTTTGGAAACCTGGTGAATGCAAGAACTGCTTTAAACCGAAGAGCTTGCACCAGCTTCCTCCAGACTCTGAGAAGGAACCCATCACCCATGGCAATGTGAAAACTAACGCCAATCATAGTAACAACCACCGCATCAGGAACACAGGAAACTTCCGGCCCCCTGTGGCTAAGAAACCCACTATAGCTGTGAAGCCCACTATGATGGTGGCAGATGGACAAAGTGTATGTCGTGAGCTTAGTATACAGGAGCACTGTGAGAACAAGCCCGTCATCATAGGGTGGAACCGAAACCGGACGGCCTTGAATCAGAAACCACTTAACAACAATGAAGATGATATCGAAGGGCTGGGCCATGTTCCTGAACCATATGGAAATAATGATAGTTCAAAGAAGATGTCGAGTAACAATGATGGGCTAACTGAAGTGTTAAAGGAAATAGCAGGCTTGGGTACTGCCAGCCCTCAGGTCACAGGAAATGAGGAAAACTCTAGAGAAACATTCTTAGGCAGGATAAACGATTGTTACAAAAGATCACTGGAAAGAAAGCTTCCGCCAAGTTGCATGATGGGTGGGATCAAGGATACTCAGGGCAAACATGTTATTCTGAGTGGGAGCACAGAGGTGATCAGCAATGAAGGGGGCCGATTCTGCTACCCAGAATTTTCTAGTGGAGAGGAGAGTGAGGAAGATGTGCTTTTCCGTAATGTGGAGGAAGAGCACGAGAGTTGGGATGAGAGTGATGAAGAGCTCCTGGCCATGGAAATTCGCATGAGAGGGCAGCCTCGCTTTGCTAACTTTAGAGCAAACACATTGTCTCCCGTTCGATTCTTTGTGGACAAAAAATGGAACACTGTCCCCCTGAGAAATAAGTCTCTGCAGAGAATTTGTGCTGTGGACTATGATGACAGCTATGATGAAATCCTGAACGGTTATGAAGAGAATTCTGTGGTCCCTTATGGCCCAGAAAGCATGGTATCATCTGACTCCACATCACCAGATTCTTCTTTAACAGAAGACTCACGTTCTGAGACGGCCAGTAGTTTGTCCCAAAAACTTTGTAATGGGGGAATATCTCCTGGCAACCCAGGAGATGCTAAGGACATAAAAGAAAGTAAGCCTAGTTTTGAGAGCCTTCCTGGTAATAGTCAGGACAAGGATACAGTGCAAACACCCAAAACCTCAGCGAAAACTCCAGAGACACACAAGGCAGTCCTTGCCCTCCGATTGGAAGAAAAGGATGGCAAGATTGCTGTACAGACCGAGAAACAAGAATGTAAAGCCTCTACTGATATTGCTGGGCAAGCAGTAACCATAAACCTGGTCCCCGTAGAGGAGCAAGCAAAGCCCTACCGAGTTGTGAATCTCGAGCAGCCAATGTGCAAGCCATACACTGTTGTGGACGTCTCAGCAGCCATGGCCAGTGAGCACCTCGAGGGCCCTGTTCACGCTTCCAAGACAAAAAGCTCATCTTCCACTCCAAACTCTCCAGTGACATCACCTACATCGGGGCAAATAAATGCCCATTTCCCCAAATCTAGTGCGATTCGATACCAGGAAGTGTGGACTTCCAGTACCAGCCCACGACAGAAGATACCTAAGGTGGAATTAATAAGTGGTGGAACTGGGCCAAATGTCCCTCCAAGGAAAAACTGTCACAAATCAGCACCAACTTCACCCACAGCTACAAATATTTCCTCCAAAACCATTCCTGTCAAGTCACCTAATTTGTCTGAAATCAAGTTTAATAGCTACAACAATGCTGGCATGCCACCTTTTCCAATTATCATTCACGATGAGCCAACTTACGCGCGGAGTTCCAAAAATGCTATCAAAGTCCCCATTGTAATCAATCCAAATGCTTATGACAATCTTGCCGTTTACAAAAGTTTTCTTGGAACAAGTGGAGACCTCTCAGTGAAGGAAAAAACCACAAGTGTAATAAGCCATACTTATGAAGAAATAGAAACTGAGAACAAAGCGTCTGATAGCACCACTAGCAAGCCCTCTGAGTGTCCCCAGGCTAAAGCGTTTTCAAACAGCACTGAGCGTAAAAGGGGCTCCGTGGCTCAGAAGGTTCAGGAATTCAACAGCTGTCTCAACCGAAGTCAGTCTTCACCACAGAGAAGTTTTAGTTCTAGCCACAGCTCCCCGACAAAGATACAGAGAACCACTCAAGAACCTGTGGCCAAAACGGAAGGCCCGCAGGAGTGTCAGACGGCAGGCGGTGGCGGAAGCACCCGGGAGAAAGCGAGCACAGTGCTTTCTCAGATTGTGGCTTCCATCCACCCCCCACAGTCACCCCCAGAAATGCCTCCATGTAGTCCTAAAGCTTGCAGCATAGAAGAGCTCTATGCCGTCCCACCAGACGCCGACGCTGCTAAGATTACACCTAAGGGCACACCAGTCCGGCCCAAATCTCTCTTTATCGCTCAGCCCAGTGGCGAGGCTGGAACAACTCAGACCACTGAAAGTCCTTCAACCAAAGTACAGAAAGAGCCACTCACAAAGCCACTCACCACTCTTGCCTCGAAAACGAGCCACCAAAGCGAGCCACCACCCCCTTTCCCCCCACCACGCTCCACTTCTTCCCCTTACCATGCAAGTAACCTTCTGCAGAGGCATTTTACCAACTGGACCAAGCCAACCAGCCCTACCAGGTGCACAGAAGCCGAATCAGTTTTGCACTCTGAAGGCAGCAGGAGGGCAGCTGATGCAAAGCCTAAACGCTGGATATCTTTCAAAAGCTTCTTCCGCCGTCGGAAAACAGATGAGGAAGATGACAAAGAGAAAGAGCGCGAGAAGGGGAAATTGGTGGGCTTGGATGGCACCGTCATCCACATGCTGCCTCCTCCTCCAGTTCAGCGCCATCACTGGTTCACAGAGGCAAAAGGAGACTCCAGTGAGAAACCTGCCATCGTGTTCATGTACAGGTGTGAGCCCCCCTCCGGCCAGCTCAGCATAGAGCAGAGCAAAGCCCGGGCAGAACAACCGGCAGCCACGCAGAAGGGTGGCATGGATGATGGGTTACCACAGGACTCAGAGAGAAAGAAAAGGGCTCATTCTCCAGCACAGGTTCCTAAAAAGATCCTCAGGTATGTAAAAATAAGCTGGTAGTAGTTGGGATTGTTTGAAAACTCATTTTCAGGGGCTGACTTTTTCACATCTTTAAGATTCTGTAGAGAGACATCCATGCAGCGTTTGCTGACCACCATCAGGTTTTAGAGCTGCATTCACAGATTAAAATATTTCTAAAGTCATCTCCCTACACTGATCCTGGTCTGTGACCCAGGAGTCTTTAGTTAAGTAGCTTTTGTAGCCTTTTACATTCTCATGTGTATAGAAAGACTTTAGTATATATATTTTTAAAAGCCTAACACCCTAACGGCAATAAATAATATCTAACTTTGATGTCACAGGGTGAGGAAGAAACACGACCAAATCAATAAATGGTGTTTTTATTTTCCCCTCAGTAAATGGAATGAAACCTATCAAGCAATTCTCTTCTTGGCTTTCACCAAACTGTTATCTCTATATGCATTATCTTATTTTTCACAAAAATATTTGTTTTCGCTGCCTCTTTCCATCCTCCTTTCAAATGTTATGGAAAAGAGAAGGGACCCACGGGCAAGTCGTTTATAGTCATTTAACATATAAGAGAAATAAGATAGAATGGTCGTGGAGATTGAGTACCAATAGTCAAGCCAGCAATTCAGCTAGCCAGACTGTATACCCATGTCAGTTCCCCAGATTCTCTTTCATTCTTCATAATTGTTTATTGGGGCCAGAGCAATAACACAGCAGGTAGGGCACTTCCCTAGCACACAGACAATCTGGATTCGATATTTGGCGTCTCATATGGTCCCCCAAGCACCACCAGGAGTAACTCCAGAGTGCAGAGCTAAGAATAACCCCTGACCACTTCTGGGTATAGCCAAAAAAAAAAAAAACCCCAAAATTAAAAAAGTCTATTGATCACCTATTCTGTATATGGCACATCCTATATATTTATCTCAGATCCTTATAAAAACTATTCAAATTTAACCATACATCACGATCATCTGGAGTGCAGTTAAAGCACTGATTGCTGGACCCCATCCCCAGAATTTCTGATTTGGTAGCTCTGAGGTGGACCCTGCTCATTTGCACTTCAAACAAGTCCCTAGGTGATGGAGGAACATCAGGGAAGTTAAGATTCGCTGTTCTGGGCCATACATTGAGGAGTACCAATCCTACCAGCATTGTAGAGATAATGCATGGTTGTCAACATTGAAGCAATTGGAGCTATTAAGCTTTTTTTCAGAAGCACATTAGAATTTTCTTATTTTACAATGTCCCAAAACTAAATAGAAGAAAGGTATTAACTAATTTTTATAACTTCTTAGAAAGTTTAAAACATGAATGCTCATATTTAAAAAACACACCATTTTGCTGGGTTTTTTTTTTTTTTTATAATTACCTCATTTACTTGGATACACCATTGGTATTTACTTGAAACAACATTGGGAGAAAAAACATTACTGTCAAATGTCAACATTTGTGTTTCCGGCTTGATGGCAGTGTAATCATTAAATTACCATCCTACGGCTGGGAAACCTGCTGCTGGAAGAAATAAAAGTACAGCCTTTTCTATAAATAAATGAAGATTCCAAATCCAGACTGAAATGAAAACTACTCAGTTGAAGGCCAGGCCGTAGGCTCTAAAAGATAAAGGACTTTGTTGATCCTTCATCATGCGATTAGATGTATTTAGCTGGTCAGGTGACTTTAATCAATTATCTTAATGGTGCCATAGAAACTAATAGATGGAAAGAGCATCATGCCGTTCAGATAATAGGTTTGAATTTGACCTTCAGTTTTGTCTGGTTCTTCAGTGTGTAGTGGCTAGAATATTCATAGGCTTAATTTAAGTACATAAGAAAACATAGGGCTGGAGAGATAGTACAGTGGGTGCGTCACTTGCCTTGCATGAGGCCAGCCAGGGTTGAATTCCCCACCCTATATGGTACCCTGACCCCCACCAGGAGTGATTTATGAACGCAGAGCTAGGACTCAGCCCTGCTTACTGCCAGGTATGGCCCCCAAAACATAAAATGAAAACAAAAGCCCATATAACTGCAGAATCAGGCACATTAGTTGCTTTAAAATGTTAGTAGCATGGGTGGGAGGAAAACTGGGGACATCAGAGCTGAGAAATTACATTGAGGAGGGATGCGTGTTGGAACAAATATGACTGAAACCTGATCATGAACAGCTTTGTAATGCTTTCATGATAATTCAGTTCACAGTCACAAATCACAAATCATCCTTTTATTCGTCGATTGCCTCGAGCAGGCCCCAGTAACGTCTCCTTCATCCTAGCCCTGAGATTATATTCAAGACTCTTTAGGAGAATGAGATCCATCATTGTTACTGGTATTTGGCATATTGGGTACGCCACGGGGAGTTTGCCAGACTCTGCCGTGTAGGCAGGCTACATTCGGTAGCCTGCCAGTTTGCCCAAAGTAGGAATGAGATAATAAGATGCCATAATAAGATGTCGCATGGCCACAAATGTGTGACCCCCGCCTACTGGAATTTGGAGGATCTGGGTGGAGGATGCTCGGCCCAAATCCGAGTAGGCTTGGAGATCTCGGCCCCGGAACCCGTGTGACTTTGTCCCTCTGCCAGTACAGTTCAATTAAAAAAATTAAATGTTAGTAGGGTGGGAGAAAAAGTGCAGAAGGTGAAAGGTTGCTTTGCCTACCGTGGACCAGTTCAGTCCTCAGTACATGTGGGCACCTCCCCAGTCACCGCCAGCAGTGACTTCTGAGCAGCACTGGGTATAGCCCCAAAGCACCCCCAAATGATAAAGAATAAAATAAAATATTAGTCGTGTTACTGCCCTCAATGTAAAAAATGCTACCCCGAAATGTATGTGTGGAGTAGGTCAGAAGTCCTCCTTTAGGTCCTCCAAAAGTGACTAAATCAGCTTTAAACAGAGTTCTCAATAAATTTGTTTGTCTGGGGGTCACACCCAGCAGTGCTCAAGGCTACTCCTGCCTCGGTGTTCAGGGATGACTCCTGGCAGCATTTGGGAGAACGTATGTCACGCTTGAGGTCTAACAGAGGGTGTTTGGCTAAGTGGAAGGCAAGAACCTTATTGTACTATCTCCTCAGTCTTTTCAATAATACTTAAAGGATTCTGAGGACAAAACGTTTGTGAATTGCTCAGACAGACTGTGAAAGCCTTGTATAGTACATTAAATATTTTTTGCCCTTTGTCTTGTAGAGGACATGGTTTTTAAGGAGGAGGGAGAGGGAAAGAAAGAACTGGGAAGTGAAATACTTATGACAAGGATACTAGTCAAAAAAAATTTTTTTGTGGGGGCACACCCAGCTGTGTTCTAGGCTTATTCCTGGCTGTTTCCAAGGGTTAGGGGGACCATACAGGATGCTGGGGATCAAACCCAGGTCGGCCACAGGCAGTGTATGCGCCTTTTCCCACCAGCCCTAACTAGTCAAGTGTTGATTCAGGAATGTTTCCATGTCATCGTTTTTATGTGGTAGTATATATTAAGAGAATTATAGTCTTGTCTGTGACAGGAATGAATTTCTTCACTATCATTTGCGAGTGAAGGGCTTCCAGAACAGTGCTCAGGAGATCTGGGGTCTCCACCAGCAACTGAGCCTGCAAGTTTGTACAAGGACCAAGGATGCAGTGCTGCTCTGGCTTTGTGATTCCGGGGATACCTAGACCACTGTAGCACTACTGGAGACCTTAAAACCACATCCAGCAGTACTTGGGAATCTGCAGGGATGCACCTCACGATGCTAGGGGGACCATATGGTCCTGGGAATCAAACGTGAATCAGAGGCATACCAGGCAAGTGCCCTAACCACTGTTACTATGTCCTGGACTATCATTTCTACAAGCTTTAATCTGCCTTCCATTCCTACAAATGTTGCACAGTGATAAAAAGACAAGCACTAAAGTCAAAAAGGGTAATATTTTAATTCTAATTTTACTACTGGTAGTTTTATAGACTTTTGACTTAACCAAAGTTAAACTTAATCTCTTAAGTGAATTTTCCAGATCTGTACTATAGTAGTAGTAAATCTACCTTAAAGAGATACTCCAAGAGAAAAATAGATAATTATAAAGTATCTAGCTCAGCATAACAATAGCTGACCACTTCAAAAATTTGCTATCAACACCAGAGTTTAAAATGATTCTTGGAGACTGGTGTAATAGCACAGCGGGTAGGGCGTTTGCCTTGCATGTGGCCGACCCGGGTTCAATTCCCAGCATCCCATATAGTCCCCTGAGCACTGCCAGGAGTTATTCCTGAGTGCAGAGCCAGGAGAAACCAGGAAAAAAATTTTTGCCTGAAGTCGTATTCTTTAAAAAGTCAAGTGTCAAGGCTGGCGATATAGTACAGCAGGTAAGGCACTTGCTTCAGACATGGTTAACCTGGATTCAATCCCTGGTACCCTCAGCATCACCAGGAGTGGTCCCTGAGTGCAGAGCCAGGCATAAGCCCTGAGAACCTCTAGTTATGGCCCCAAAACAAAAAATAAAATAATTTTTAAGTGTTCTTGTTAAAACATTTGATCTCTGCCTGTCTAAACTCATCCTCCTGCTCATGAGCCTCTAGTTATTCTGGCTTCCTCTTTCTGATTGCCTTGTTTATATCGTTGATCGTGAAATTTTACTTGAAGACTCCCGTTTAATGGAGAGATGGTCCTGTTAAACAGCAAAAGTAACCAAGGAAATTTGGTTTACAAGTAGATCCACGTGTAAGCCCCAAGTATAGCCAGGTGTTGCCCCAAAACAAATAAATAAATATCTCACTTCTCATCCTAGTCACAGGATGATGTAGAAAGGTGATGTCTATGAGCCCTATCATGGGAGTGGAAGTGGAATTCAGATAGTTTAACATTCTTTTCCCTTTTGAGTGATTTAACACCACAGAAGTAAGTGATTTACTTAGAGTCTTATAAACCTAAAAAGTGAAAATAAAATTCAGAATTCCCTACTTACTGAATTTTTATTTATTTGTTTTGGAACAACACCCAGCAGTGCTCAGCGTTTACTCCTGGGTCTGCACTCAGG